AGGTTTTTGAGATATCAAATATTGCATTTTCAATAAATAGTTTTTTGGGGTGCGGGGGGCAATTAAAAAATGTTATAAAATATTGTTTACCATAAAATACAAGAGACTTGGAAAGAAATTAGAGAAGTGTTGACAAACATGAGAGATGGAGTTAGATCAGAGAAGGGAGATGCTGGCAAGATTGAAATGTGAGAGATCCATTGTTTTTTCCCCTGCTAATTGCGTTATGTTTATTTGTATTACATTGCCAGATGATATTTAATGCACCACTTATTTTCAGGATTCCATGGCCCCTTGAGCTACTTGGGGGACTTAGATGTTTGCTTAATTTGCTAATGCCCAGTGCCACCGCTATTACACTGGTCAACACACTTTTTCTGGCATAAGGTATTCCAACGGTTTTAAGGTAATTTTGGGGTGCTGATTCCAAATCTGGCATCAGTTTTTGTCTATCACATCAGGTTTTTGAGATATCAAATATTGCATTTTCAATAAAAACTGCAGAAGAAAAATATTAAATAAATGTGAATATCTACATAAAATGATATTATAAACACACTTTCCTAAAAATACAGCACCATATTTTAACACTAAAGCAGTCACTGACTCGCAACAACTTGCAATCATAAGTGACAGAGTAAATTTCGGGTAAAATCAATGAAAATGGGGTATGCCGATAGCATAAAAATGAGATGTAATCAGATTTGGAATCAGCACCCTGAAATTAGTCTAAAACAGCTGCAAAAGTCCAGGCCAGAAAAAAATTCTTTATTTTTGTTGACCAGTGTAATCTATCGAAATTGAAAGAAATAAAAAAATATTTCAACCGTTCGGATAGCTCCCACCTTAGTTCTGCTTGGAAGAGAATCATCAAATAACAAATTATTTAAATTCATTGTTCTAATACACACAACAGACATGGAAGGACAAGATCAAAGGGCTCTCATAATGCACATGCATAATGTACGTTGACTCATTAATCCCCTCCCCCCACTTGGCACAAGAGCACAGAAGCGTGGTCACCACATCTACACCTCTATATAAGGAACAAAACAGGTGGACTTCTCCACAAATCTGGCTGTTACCTGATGATGCTAGTTGTAATTACTGGCGAAACGTCGTACTCAGATTGTAAATGTTGTGGCTTGGCTCTCAAACACACCGGTGTGCTGTACAAGCACGCTATACACTACACAATACACTACACTACTACAGTATACACGAGTGCTGTACTAGTATACTATACACTACACTATACACTACAATACTACACTATACACTACACTACTAAACTACACACTAGTGCTGTACTAGTGACGAATTGGCCCGTTCTGTGTACGTGACAACCCTTACTAGTTGGCTGTGTCGGGTGGTGGCGGGTTTTAAAGACACATTTATATATTTACGCAATCTAACCCAAAAAAAGAAACCTCTATTATGGATGATATTGGTCACGAAACCCTACGTGTTAAACACACTACACTACTATACATTACTATACACTACACGACTGTACATTACTATACGCTACACTACTATACACTACTACACTACACTATACACTACACTATACACTACTACACTACACTATACACTACTATACACAGACTGTTCGCTCTTCTTGGGGAATTCCCAGACGTTCCCAGGCCAGCTGAGCGAGAGTCCCGCCAGCGTGTCCCGAGCCGGCCCTGGGGTCTTCGCAGCTAATTAATATTGTTCTTAAAATTATTTTACTTCCAATTCTATTCCAATGGTAGCATTCGTATCAAGTCAACTAATCAATCCTCTTTATTAACACTAGGGATGTATTATTTGGGTATGACGTTCAAACAGTATCACATGTCAATCAAGCCAATGTTATTCATTCTCAGAACTGCAATATGTGCAAGTGACAAAAGAGATGTAGTTCTAGTTTTGCAGTCATCGTTGACTGAGCTGAGACCATCAGCTTGCTACGCTTAATCAATATAAATCCGTGACATTTGAAAACCCCTGTTTTATTATGGTGGATGTCCCAAATTCTATCCCAGACTCCCAGTGATGCCAGCTCAGCACAAAAGGGCCTTTGCAGCATTTGGCACACGGCTGAACCAAACACATTACAAAGTAACTGCATTCAGCCTTGTCAGGGCGTCGCAGCCACGCGGCGGTCAATGTCACACAGATGTTGGTTTTGGGCAATAGCGGGGCTCCTGCCAACAGGCCAGTTCAGATTAATTTCAGGCAACCGCTCCCAGCACTGGATTCGGATCAACGTGCGGAGAAATTTTGATGGATCTGAACCGCACGTGTGAAGGAAAACATTTCATGACACTGAACCGTAATATTGCCCAGAGCTCAGGTTTCAGTAGCGAAGCCAGAGACGGGCACCGGATTTAAAGGAGGCCAGAAAAAGGCTCAAATAAATAAATGCGACCCTTTCATCTCACTTGGTATTGTTAATGCAAGTGTGTATAAATATACGGGGTGAAGCGATGTTTGCGGTGGTTAGCACAATGTGCTATGAAGTCAGCGATCCGAGTTCGATTCCCGGCCATCGCTCACATCGGTGACGAGTAATATCTGAACCAGTCCTGGGCTTCCCCCCCCCATCTTGATCAACCTGTGAATGGTTTCCCTCTCAGGGCCTCCCCTCATCTTCATCACCTGCCCACTTCCATTCCTTTGTCTGATCTCCCAGAAGTCCTAGCCGGTGGGTGATGTCATTCTCATTTACGTTCACATTTACCCACTTCTCCGCTTCCGAATCCAGCGTTGTCTCCCCTCTGCTCAAGCTTTATAATCCACTGTTGTTGCCCTCATGATCTATAATTTCGTCCCACCTGCCATCCTTGCTGCAGACTCTCTGTTAATCTATGACTGACCGTCGCTTCTCGATCCAGTGTCTCCAATCACACCTCGTCCAAAAACGATTAACTATTTTTATTTCACCAGGTAAGGTCCACTGAGCTGTATAGCTCTTTTTCAGAAGCGAACTGGCCGTAAATGATAGATCAACGAAGTGGCTTATCACGTGGAAATTTATAGCAGCCAAATACTCAATAAAATGTTTTAAAATACTTTTTTTAAAAACACGCTTTAATGAAATGTACTGTCCGAGCTGCCCCTCCCCCTGCCCCCTTCCCCGATCACCCCTCCCCTCCTTCCACACCCCCCGCCCCTGGGCGTGGCTCCCCGAGGCTTGTCGTGACGTAAGGGACCACGTGGTGATTTACAGGCAACGTAAATTGAACGTCGATAATTATAGCCGTAAAAAAGATTGTTTAAAAAAATATATTTTTTATTTGTAATGATAGAATATAGTATTGTCATCAGTATGACACAGCTATACGAAGTTTGCAGTCGATACGACATTGGGAATACGGTTGAAATTGAGTTACAAGATTTTTGGATACGACAACACATACAGTAAGTTAAATAAAGCACTTAAATAGTTTTAAAAAATATGTTTTGGATTTTTTTTATGATAGAATATTATGTTGTCATCAGTATGACACACCTATACGAAGTTTGCAGTCGATAGCGCATTGGGAAGTGTGTAAAAATTGAGTTACAAGATTTCTTTTTTGAGGATACAAAAGACAAAGTGAGTTAAATAAAAGCTAGTTTAAAACGCATGTTTCTAAATGTGGATCGAAAAACCGGAAGACCCGGGGAAAAAAATCCACACGACCATGGCGAGAACATGCAAACTCCAAATATACAGCCATCAGGGTCAGGATCGAACCCATAACCTCCTGTATACCACGCGAGGCAGATAACATCTCCCCACCACAGTGCATACCACCCACTTCGGTAGTCCCCGTGACACATGTGCTGTTTTATAGTACTGAGATGCAGTTGCGTCTAACTCAGGGGTCGGGAACCTTTTTGACTGGGAGAGCCATAAAAGCCAAATATTTCTAAATATATTGCATTGAGAGCCATATAGTATTTTTAACGTATAATAAATTAAATATGTATCACTTTTAATGCGATTTCTGGTGCTGCATGGTTTTGCTGATGGCCTTGTAGTCTGGTTCGTACGTGGTGAGGTTGAGCTTCATGCAGGCGTGACCCGTGAAATTTATCTTCAAAACTAATTTCTGTTTACTTTAAAATGACACAGTATTATTAAGCAATATCACAAGTATTTTAAAATCAGTTCCAAGCTGATTTTTTTTATTTTTTTTTCAACTCAAAATTGTCTGGGAGCCATATGCCGTCACCAGAAGAGCCATATATGGCTCGCGAGCCATAGGTTCCCGACCGCTGGTCTAACTGCTATGAAAAAAAAACTAAATTTTATCGTCTCGCCTGTGCCTGCCACCCAACTCATCTCTGCGGACATCTCCTGTGGCAGCTGCGATGGCTGAACGCAGCACTTCACAAGCCTACTGCGACGCACCTTTATTGCAGGCCTGCATGGAGACAGGACACAATTATAACGGAATAGCTTGCAGCAGTCCATATAAAATCATATCTAATAATGAATACGTTTCAGCCCATTGCCAGCTTGCTGCTTTACCATACTTCACTATACTGATCATTACACACAAAGTGCTTGCCACAAATGAACCACAATACCTTGCTGATCTCATCAAGAAGCATAAATCATCACGTGAACCCTAGTCATCTTCGCAGCGGCTTTTAGCCAGCCATCGAACAAAGGCGATCACCACATTGCGACCTTTCAGATGTGCTTCTGCGGCCGTCTGGAACGTTCTTCCTTCCGATATTAGGAAGCCACTGGAGCTATGCACTTTTAACTCTAGATTGAAAATATATTTCTTTAGAACTGCTTTTTGTGTTTAGTATTTGAGGACTGGGGGAAGGGGTGGGGGGGAGGGAAAGTTGTGAGGGGGGCATGGCGGTGGTGAACCAAATCTGTTTCTCAACAGCGAGCGTTTGCAGCGTTCCCAGGCTGTCGCTGGCCGCGACCACCGCTCACCCCAAGCCCGTGATCCGGTGCGCAAGCGTGCGGGTGAGAGCGTCGCGTCGTTGGGCAAGGCCACACTCACCCCATGAGCAGGTATATGAGCACGGTGACGGAGAGGCAGACCCCGCACACGCTCGAGTGGCGGCACAGGAAGAGGATGACGTAGCACATGAGGCTGAGCAGCACCACCCACACCATGTTGAGGCTGAAGAAGTGGTAGAGGCTGAAGAAGCCGGCAGCCACGCAGCACAGGTGCTTGGTCCATGGTGGTACACCTGTCCGCGCGCGCACGCACAAAGCTAAGACAGATATCTGTATCCCCCCCGCCATCTGTAGCTGTAAATGACAGTTGAGGGCAAGTGCTGTTCATGAGCACCATTCTTGTAGTGCCAGGCGAGCACGAAGGAAGGCGCTCATTCAGAGCCTTCAGATGTTTCACAGTTGGGGCAATGTTGCCGTGTGCTATGGCAGTTCGAGTAATTTATGGGTATTTATTTGAATTGGTCAAATTTGGACCCTGACGCAAGCACACAGTAGCCGACTCAATTCAAATTACGCCAGGTGATAGGTGTCTATCTGGCATTCGAACATTTTAACACCTCTGCATTATTGCCAGGAAGCGTAAAGCCTATTCTTTCTTTTTATCATCTTGATAATGGAAAAAAGGGTCCCATAGACAGATCAAGGGATGTTTGTATGTATATATGTATGTTGATTTGTTGAACTTCTTTCGCAACGCACGTATCCACCCGTGCTAATCGGTGGTGCGGGGAAAGGACAACATCCACTGCGAAGCAGATGGCCAGCAGTATGCTAATACGCCATCACTATTGACCAGGGCCGCCTACCGGATTCAAACCAGGAACCTCTGCAACAAACGGTGAATGCGCTATCGCTGTGCTGCCACTGTGCTGCCACTTTGCTGCCATGGGTGCTGTCGGTGCACGGTTGGCTGCATGTGCCCTGATTGTGTCTACGGTCCCTTGATGCAACACGAAGTGTGAATGCTCCGATGGCGCAGTCAAGCCTAAATAAAATCAATTTCAACTGAAAAATACCTATGAATAATTTGAAAAAGATTTAGAAAAATTTTAACACGTGCTATTTATTTTGCAGGCTCAATTTGGTGATCATTTAGCAGACGGCGTTTGTGTTTACTAAAAACATGGCATCTGTATTGTTTCACGTCAACCATATATATAATTGCCTGAGTATATGTGTAGTTTTCTGCTAAACTTCATGCATATTTTGTAAAATGAAAAATTCCGTGCAAATTTTAATGGGATATCTCCACATAAATATTAGCACATATCAATCTGAATTTAATTAACTCGGTGGCAATGTAAACAGTGTTGATCAAAGTTAAATCACGAATGCATTCGCCGAAAGGTCTTGGGACTGATTCAAAATTTCAAACACATCTTGTTTAACCCTTGTTATGGGTGCCAAGTTGTTTGAACCTGGTGATTTTAACTTGCTTTAACTCTCAATTGCTCTATCTATCAGTGTAGGATATGAGAATGTGTTTTTTTGCACAAAGTTGTTCCATGTGGTCATTACCATCCCTCACTTCACCTTCGCGTACTTGACCAATATTAACGACCTTAATGACCTCAGCTTCCGAGTCTGTGCCACTGCACAATCTCAGTCCTTGTGTTAATGCAGTTCCTGCGGTACAGCCTGGATAGATCGCGATGCCCCATTCAGCATAAGAGCTTTGCGCTTTATTATTTCCGTCCTGTATGAAAGGGTTATTTGTGAAGTGCCACCGCAACGTTTTAAGATGATGCGAACCGGACACCGGATGGCCGTGTGGACAGGGAGAGGCGGAGGGCAGAGGTCGCAACCGGGTACCCGATACCCGTACCCTACCCGTACCCGGCCGGGTACGGGTACGGGTACCCGTTTGCGACCCTGGTGCGGCCGGGTACGGGTAAGGAATCAAAACCCGTTTGCGTACTCTGGCGGAGGGGCAGAACCCAGTTTACTGTGGTTTAACACAACGCTCTGAACCACCTACCCTTATCTTTTGTTCTGAAACGGCGATGCTGAACTCGAAGCAAACGTCATGAAGGAGGGAGTGAATTCATGCGAGACGTACGTTCCTGCAGAGTGCCATAGTTCACAATCCCCATAACAGAGTGAGCGATATTACAGGAATAGCCGGAAAAGGCAGCCTAAGCATCCACTATTTATCTTTTCCACACATGCCAAAACACCCTTGACTCATGTTGCAATGTTTCTCAACAGAACAATTAAGGGCACCCTTGTTAACTGCTAAGGAACTGCCAATCCAGTATTCATATTCATCCAGGCATCCACTCTACGTCCGTCCTTGTGGAAGAGGTACGTAGATGACACTTTCGTCATCTGGTCACATGGCCGACCAGCTCTGAAACCAATTCCTAAACCACATCAATTCCATACACCCAGCCATCAAATTCACCATGGAGGTGGAAAAGGATGGCAAGCTACCATTCTTGGATGTTTTCATCTAAATGAGACCAGATGGCTCAATGGGACACTGTCTACAGGAAAGCCACCCATACGGATGGATATCGAAAACCTGACTCCCACCACCATCCTTCCCAAAAGAAATTCCTCATAAAAACTCTACACCATAGAGCTCGATGTATTTATGACCATCATCACCTAGCCAGTGAACTGAAACATGTACACCAAGCTCTCAAGATGAATGGATATTCAGAATACACAATCCGTAAAGCTATCACCCCAACCGTCGGGAAAGAACCATCTGAGGACCCAATCAAAACCATCACCTTGCCATACATAGAAGGGGTCACTAAAAATATCTCCAAAATCATGAGCAAACACAATATCCAGATTCGATTTAACACAGTACATTAAATTCGTGATCTGATCCCATATGTGAAGGATGTGATCCCTGACATGCAATACCCCGGCGTCTACAAACTAAGCTCTATCTGCGGCAGTAATAACATTCGGGAAACTAAGCGACATGTTTCGGACCGTGTTCGTGAACATAAGGCAGATCTGAAACACGGTAGGACCAATACCTCGACCGTGGCTGATCATTGTGTTAATGCGGTGGGCTCACACGAAATTGATTTCTCTAAGACGAAGGTACTTTGCAAACCCACTGGCTATCAACAAAGATTCGTTCATGAAGCCATCCACATATACAGACACAACTTCAATCGAGAAGATGGGTATAAACTGAGCAATCATTAGAAGGACGTTATCAACCAGTTTAAGTCATAACTGGCTGTGATGATCCCATCCTACCACTTTCGAATGTTAGTTGTTATTTTCGACTCTCTGATTTTACATTAACAAGTTAAATTTCCCACTAACACAGCCACCTCGCTCGCCGAGCTCGACGTTGCTGCTCTGCAATCTACCATTAACATGCTCATCTCTCACATTAACATGCTAATCTCTCACATTAACATAGCCACCTCCACCCACACATAGAGGCCGCTCTACGATCTCACAGTAACATGCTAATTTCTACTCTTAGTTTTTTCGGTAAAGTCACGTAGGTAAAAAATGAAATTAAAATGAATAAAAATAAAATAATAATAAATCATATTATTATTTTATTTGGTTAATTTAATAAAAATAAAATAATAATAAATCATATTATTTTTATTTTATTGATTTTAATTTCATTTTTTACCTACGTGACTTTACCGAAAAACCTAAGAGTATGAATCCTTGCAGTCACGAAAGCTTCAAATCTAGAAATATGCTAATTTCTCACATTAACATCACTATCCCCGCCGACTTTAAACCTTTAAAACAGTCTGCCTCAGCAGCTTTCCCCCTCTTTTTTCCTCCTGATGACGATCTCTTGTATTGTGATCGAAACGTAGTTTTTTTCTTTGAACCTATCTACATGACTTTACTGAAAGACCCAAAGAATATGAATTCCTGCAGTCACGAAAGTTTTAAGTCAAGATGTAACTGCCAATCCAGTATTATAATGCACTCATTAAAGTTTTCACGGATAGATTTCTGGCTCAAAAAGGCATACCCCTGTGCCTTGTTAGCAACAGAATGTTTTACACAGCCGTGCGGTGTGTATTTAAATTCCCTCATATATTTCCCTCTTTGACAGCAGTTTCAATCAATGCCCTGTCAATCCCAGCAGTTACACGTTTGTTTTTCATCTCTATGGTGTGTTGCTATTCTTGCAAGATTATGTGCACATGACACAAGTACGATTGCTAACCCAATAAAAAAAAAGTCCCCTTAATATTAAACGTCAACGTGTATGTACGTACTGCATATCGAACTTCTTTCGCACCGTACGTAGCCAACTGTGCTAAATGGAGGTGCGATAAAATAATATATCTTCCATAAGTAGTTAGTATCACATATTTGGTTTAACTCGAATTCACCTGTGTACGTGAACTCTAGTGACAATATGCCTATGCTTTCCTTTTTTGAGATTAAAGTCACACATCAGATTCAAGGATTAGCAATTTCACGTGTACCGCACATTTAATTCCCAGAATTAACCCTAGAATCAATGCAATTAAGGGGAAGAGATGGCCAGCTCCTGCAAACTGTGTAATTATATCACACATGACTTGGTAAGAAAAAGCAAACGCTGCCATGGTATTGTGGCCCGCACACTGGATTTGCAATCCAGAGATTGCCGATTTCTTCTCCTAGCATGGCAGTTGAAACGTGAGGAATATATATTTAGACATAAAAATATCCCCTCACCCCCATCCACCCCACAGTATAAATGGGTGTGTCACAGTCAATCAGCAAGTCGTATGTGGTGGGGTAAAGTGTAAGTACTTCCACCTCTTCCAAAATGTCTTGTCAGTACGGTAAGGAAGGACAAATTCCCTTTAGAGGGGCTCTCTCCAGTGCTCCCCTAAAGTGAAGGCCCTCCTGCCAGCAGTGGCACGAGTAGGCACAATTGCACGGTTGCACCTTTACCATATATTGCTTAAAATATCATCATCATTGGCTTTGCTCTCTGTTTATTTCATGAGATGTGAACTCAGTACAAAGGCCCTCAATCTGCACATGTATAATTGTTGAACGTAAACTGTGCAATTTAGTTTGTACATTGCTATTGTCTGTCAATCTCATTTTAGCAGCCGAGGAGATGCATTCAATTACTTCGTCAGCCTGAAAAGCTTACACACGAAACACAAATGAAAGTGTGCGTGTCTGATTAGAGAATGCAAGACCCGTAATTAACTCGGAAACACACGTGCAACAGCAAGATACAAATCCTGACATTGGATAAAGATGAACCGCGTGTTTAAAG